TGAATAAGAAAATGCCTTTGTGGACAGGTTTAGACAATAATGGCAAAGTTGGGAGGGTGTACCTCTGCTGAGGATACATGTGACATTTTATTTCTGAATTGTGTCCGTCTGCAATGGATTGGTGTGATATGTGCCAGGATCATTTCTCCTTTTTCACTAACTGTACTCGGATGTCCCCCAGGGAGTATTAATCCTTGGGCAGCCCTTCCCTGTCCAGAGAGCTAGCACTGATCCAGGCGATAACAGGCAGCCACCTTTTCCCAGACATTTGGCCTTTGAGTGAGTGATGATGAGAAATGTCCAGATTTCACATAGCACAGCAAAGAGGTCACCCAGGCATGCTACATACAGTTCCCCTAAGCTAGTCTTTCAGCTTCTTCTCAGCTCTGGGATATCCATATTCCCAGAAGTTGTTTTCCTGGGTAAGGTGACTTCTGGTGCTTATAAGAGAAGAACCTTGACTGGTACAGCCCTTTGGAGGAATAGAAGGAAATACATACTTGTTGAGACTAACACTGTGTGTTTAATATACAGATGGGGAATATTAAGAGGAAATCAGCCCCTTGTGAATTTGTAAACTAAGAAAATGCCCTCAGGTTGGAAAAGGTAGTAAAGCAACTTCATGTTCAATACATCAGAGGCAGAAGTACCCTGGCAAGTTTTCCAGACTCCTGGCTGCATCCTCCTTTTGGGAAATGTAAATAGCTTGGAGAACCTTGGGATTTCCAGGAACTACAGGAAATTCCTAACACTGTAAATGTGTGTAACAGCAAGTCTTTCTCAAGAAATGTTTGGAAAGGGTAAGAGCCAACACAGCAGCACAGCTCTGCAGCCCCTCCATCACAGGTGACAGGAAACAAGTGTCTGGTCTGAAAACACCACTCACTTTGGCTCTGTCAGTGAAAACACCTGCAGGCCAGATGCTGACAACCATCAGTTCCCATGTGATCAATCCATGGGGTTCCCAGTAGAACTGTGCCTTGTAAGTTTTCAACAGATTGATGTCTGTTCAGAAGGTATTTATTTTAAGAAACCTCTGGGGGGACCTGACCTCTAACCTGTTAGCAGCTGAGCCCACTAATTGATGACCACCGATAGTTACCAAGATCTACAGCTAGTTGATCAATCTGTAGTCTTCCATCACAGGCATCTTCCTAATTCTGAACGTTTATCCCAGCCCAAGCGTCCCTCTCGTAGGCATGCCCTCTCCCCTGTCTGACTGTACATCTGTCCACCCAGTCTGACTCTGAATCACAGACAACACACGACATTTATTCCCTTAGGAAAACAGAGACATTTCAGCAGCTACCTACTTACTGATCTAAATAATCACTTTTTCAACTCTGAAGGCAGAAATGGACACTTTTCAGTCATTCCTGCTTATAAACGATTCACCTATTTTGTAAACAAGGACATCTTTTTAACACCTACTGTGTTTGCTACCTAACACCAGGGACAATGAGGGAAATGTAAGTGGATCTGACACAAGATTAACTTTCAAGGACCTGAGAGTCTAGTCAGGAAAATAAAATCAACACTCAGATAACCATAATTAATACAAGCTGCTAAAAAAAAAATATACAAGCTGCTGTTGTCATTGGCCACAGCATCAACCCTGACTCATGATGACCCCAAATGTGTACAGTAAAACTCTAGCACGGCTTTCGAGGCTGTGGTCCTTCAGAAGCAGAACACTAGGCCCGGCTTCCAAGATTCTTCTGGGTTGGTTTGAAACACCAGCACTTTAGCTATAGTAATAATGGTTTTCAGTCCCTGCAGAAATGGCGCTGAGTCACTGCAACCCTACCTACAACAGAATAAAACAGCGCCAGGTCCTGACCCTTCTGTGCAATCACCACAGGACACGACCGAGTCCACTGTTGTTGCCACGATGTCAATCCATCTCACTGAGTGCTGTCCTCTTTGTTACTGACCCTGCTGGGCTGCACTCTGAAAGGCCGGCAGATAGAATCCACCATGGGAGGAAGATGGGAAGTCTCCTCCCGTATTTACAGCCTCTGTAAAAGTGGAGGGTCACCAGGAGTCAGAACTCATTCAACAGCAGTGAGGTGCTGTTATTTTTTAATACAGGGTTTCAAAGGAGCTTTTGTGGAAAAGTGCATGATATGTTGCACTGCTAACCTAAAGGTCAGTGGTTCAAGTCCGCCAGCTGCTCTCACTAATATCTACAGCATTAGAAATTGAATGGATGTTTGCTACAAATTGGGATCAGCTTGACAGCAGTAGATCAGGGTTTTGATGGATGATTACATAAGAGATCAGAGGATGTGGGAGCTGAGTTGAAGAGGAAAGAGAAATATTATTTCTTCTGTAACAGAAGCAAAAGAAGCCCTGGTGGTCCAACAGCTGAGCACCCGGCTGCTAACTGAAAGGCTGGCAGTTCAAGTCAACCCAGGGACTCCAGCAAGAACTGAGAGACCTTAGATGTTAAGAGAAGACACAAGGGAGAATGGTGCTTTTACGTTTACATAATGTAGAAATGACTCGAAAGGACATAACTGTGTTACAAGTTTAAGCAGATTAGATATATCAAGGAGCTTTGAGATCATCACATATTAACATCACTATATAAGGCAATGTGTTAAGTAATCAAGAGAGATAAGATTATTTCACAGGATAACTATATCTGAGAAAAACATACTGTTACAGACTTTTGTGATCTATTGATTTATGGTTATTAACCTACAGTTGATATGAAGCAGTCATATTATTAACTATTCTTCAATGAGTTGAAGAGGACAGATTCCACTTTACTTTTAGATCTTTGTATGTGTGTATAATAAATGATCTTGACAAGAAAGTCTAGCAATGGGGCAAAATCTTCACAGATTCCTCCAGACAAATCAAGGAAGATACTGTTTAGTTAAATATAAGTAGAATTTGATTATAATATGTAAGCTGACTTCTTTTATAATTGTTATGTATGTAGCAAATACAGGTAACTCAGACCATCAAATTACACTTAGAGTAGATGGAGAAATCCTTCAACAGAATTTCCTCACAACTGCAATGAGATGCCACCTATTTCAGAAACTCAAAACATTGATATTTTAAGGAAAATAAGGACAGTGATCTTTTAAAAGCTATTTATCCCAACAACCTGCTCTGGTTCAGGAACCACGCTGCCCAGATCATTTATACTCCTGCAAGTAAAAGTAGACAGGATTATTCATGAAGCTTTTGATATAAAAATAATTTTAAGCCAATGAGCAGGATAAATAAAATTTATTCTTCAGGGGGGAAAAAAGTAGACAGGATTGAGCTGTGAAGATTTTCACTATTATCTGCAGAGGTAATTTCTTGCTGCCATCAGAAAACTAAGCATGAGGGTATCAAATGAGTAAGAAGCAGTCAGTTAATGTCAAGAACCATTTGAGAAAAAGAAATGTCTTGTTTTGGTATGGTTGGTATATTTAGGTTGCATTATGTTGACCAAATGTTGCATTATGTTCACCAAAATGTTGACCACTTAAAAATGCCAGAGGCATCTCAGAAGAAAGGTATCGTGATTGACTTTTCGAAAGAAAGATCAGCCACTGAAAATCCTTGAAATTCCATTCTACCCAGACACACAAGGGGTGGCCAGCAGCCGTAATCAACTTGCCCGCAACTGGTTTGGAATTTGTTTCCTTTTCATGTAGTTAGGAACTTTTGAGTGGCAACACAAATGGATATATACAGAATTGCTTTCTCTACAAATGCATGTTTGTGAGTTAAGTCTCAATTTGTGAATCACACTGGTCATGCTAACTTGTTATTTCTTATAAGCCCAGCTGGAGGAATTCTCTTTAACATCAGAGCATTAAGAGCATTACTACTGAAAGGTCTAGCTGGAGATCCTAAAATAATTGGTCAAAAAGAGTATTTTGTCAACAAAAAGGTAAGGTTTTGCCAACTTAACGTAAGCTCAGCACACATGAGCCCTAAACTATAAACACTGCAACCATCAGCCAGGAAGAAAAGAAGGCAGACTCTGAAGACATTTCTGCAAATTCTGAACAGATTTCTCTTCCCTCAGGCTTCTGCCTCTGCACAGGCTGTCCTCCAGGGCAGAGCCAGGCCCACTGAGCTACCTGCAGGGGAGAGGAGCTCACGCCCCAGCGGCCCTCTGACCAGGCTCCAGCCTTGCCTGGCATCCCGACTCAGTCATGTTTACAGGGCGAGCAATCACAGCATTTGTTCCAATCTGAAGAAAACACACCGCATTTCAATTTCAACACAAAAACAATGGCTGGATATGGGGCGGGGGGGGGGGGGGGGAATCTTACTAAAAAGCTGAAATGACCCATTTTTTCCTAGTTCTTTCTCAAGTGAATTTAGCCATTTCCATGACTTTACACACGGCAGGAAAATGTGTCTGAAGGTCACTGGAAGAAAGAGATGGGCTGATTCTGAAACAAAATTAAGCCAGTAAAACATCTGAGATGAACCACAGCTACTCTGGACTTTATGGTTCAGAGCTATTTGCGTCTCTTTCCACTGAAGTACAAAAACAAAAAAACAAACAAACGCATTGCCATTGGGTCAGACACACTGATGGCAGGCCCCCCAGCTGTTTTCCAGAGGCTGTCAAACGCACAGGAGGAGACTGCCCACCTTTACCCAGAGGAGCAGCTAGTGGATTTGAACCATCAGAGAAGTGCTGCCATTTGGTTAGCAGCTCAACTGCCCAGAGATTACACCAGCAGAGCTCCCTCAGGAAGTACAAACATTCAAGCAAGGCTGTCCCTGCGCCCCTGAACACCCACACTGTGCCCAATCTACACTGCACCTACAAACTGGCCTCTTAACACGACGTGTTTGACGAAATTTTTGGATGAACATCCAGAAACGTCCTCCGCCTGAGATCACTAGAACACAACTCTGATTTATTTATATTTTTTAATGTGACTTTTAACGATCTGGGGAAACAGTATTTATAAACAACTTCCAAAAGCCACTATGCACCGAGGTCACTTCCGGAGATCAGTCACACCCACCTTATTGTGCTCGTACTTGTACGGGATCTTGAGCGTGTCCATGGCTCTGATCATGGCCTGCATGGCTGTGAAGATGTTCTGATATACCAGCTTGGTGAAGCCCCGCTTATCTTCGTCAGAATATCCTGACCCATGGATGATTCTCATCTGCTTGATAAACGTGCTCTTGCCACTCTCTCCAGTCCCTGAAAGGTAAACAAGCTCGTCAGACCATCACACCTTCTCACAGTCTCTCAGATAACTCAGCTAGAACACATGACCCCCTGAGCAGACAGCTGCTGGGAGGAACAGCTCAGCACAGCATCACCTCAGCTCCTACCGTGAACACTCAGCAGAACTCAAGGGTGAGATTCAACTTCAAAGCCAGAGCTGCTCAGAAGCAGCAGCCCGTCACCTCTTTAGAAGCTCCTCAGCATGGAACTTAGTGATTTGTAATCATGTCTTCTGTGAGAAACACAATAAAACCAGCATCTTTTGAACAGAATGAAAACTTGATAAAGCTGGCTTCTTTGCAGAATATTTGAAACACTTCCAAAAGGCTAGATTCTTTAGTCAGGATTTGGAACTGGGAACGGCATTTCACTTACACAAATATTGTTCAGAGAGAGATACGAGATAAGAAAAAAAGCCTTAAAATGTTTTTAAGAGATGTTTTCTTTTACAGAGTATAAAGGGAGTACAGTGTCCTGACCACACAAGAATCGGGATCATTTTCACTGGATAGAAAACATCAAATGTATTTATTTCTAGGGATGGAATGTTTTTTCCCCTGAGCTTTTTCAAAGAATCACCTAATTCTATTAAGTTCACAGTACCCACTCTCAACTAATCAACATGCTGTAGGAATGTATTTTTATTGGATCTTTTCTTGAGAGTTACCTCATTTTTCACTCTTAACTACTCCTTTTCTACTACCATATGCCCACAGATAATTTCTGACAGCTACAAACGGCCATGGGAAGAAGGGGAAGTGAGGTTATTTCATGGAATAGAAACTTCTCTATTTTATAGACAAACTAAATTTTAAATTAAATTTTAAACTCCAAACATGAAAACATCATTTTCTTAAATTTTTTGCTATTTCTTGCTCATTTGACAACTTCCTTGAGACTTCCAAATCAATATGTCTTTGTCCTCCTCTAACAATATGGATAAATAACACTTCCTATTAGGATAGTCAAAATGGGAGAACAGAATGAAACAGAGAAGACCATATAATCAATGTCCTAATTGCTATTTTCTCTGAACAAGCTATTAAGAAAGAAGAGGGGGGAAGAAGGGAGAACTAAAAGCTAAGAATGTAACTGTCCTAATTTCATCTTGTTTTTAACGATCACCAAAAACTCAAGTAAGTTTTACAGTCTTCATAGAAGTCCTCTGAAAGGACTACAGATGTCCTGCCAAACCCAGCGCCTTCCCAATTGCAAGGAAAGATGATTTAGAGCTGCACAGCCTTACAGTAGCCAATTTCTTTCATTTGTTTCTATTACTTTTAGTTAAGTAATCAGGAATTCCTTGAAGTTTACATTTAACACTACTGAAGGAATTTAGAGGAGCTCTGCTGAGCTAGTGTCAAGAAGCTGAGCTGCAATCTCAAAGACATGCGGTTCGAGGCCACCAGCTGCTCTGCAGGAAAAGGATGGCCAATCTCCTCCCTTGCAATTAACTGCCTCTGAAAACCCACTGGAGGGTCAGCTATGGGTCGGTTCCAACTCTACGGTACACAGCAACAACATAGGAGTTCAAAATAAATATTTTATAATCTTAACAACTGCTGGACAAGCATACAAAATGCCTAAAAAGTAGTATCTATAGTGGAAATTAAGCTATGGCATTCTCTTCCAACAATTTCTACAACTCATACTTCTCTACTAAGAAACTCTGAGCTTGGGGGGGAGGGGGGAGTCCAGCTTGTTTCTGTGTTTGTTACTGCTATGCAGACTCAAGGGCCTACTCTCTGAGTCCAATGACAGACATGTCTAACACTCATTGCTGCCACTTCTTTCCACAACCCAAACAGCTGAAACCTTAACACGTGAGGTCCATGGTAGGAGAACAGACAATAGGGTCCTCGTTCTTTCTCTCAGATTTTATATCCTTATCACTACAGTTGAAAAAAAGAAAAATGTCAGAAAAGGCATAAACTGCATTGGCGTGTGCTCCAGACAGGTCTCATCAGGCAAGGACCGTGGAGCCCTGGGCACAGGCGATAGATCTAGTCAACAAGCCCTCACTGGCCCCTGCCACACGCTGGACCTCATGCTACAGCAGGCTCCAAGTGGGGACAAGTGACTGAGGAATGACTGGGACCAGCAGAGAGGAGATGAAAACCAATGCAAAGGGCCATGCACACTAAAGCCTTCTCCTGTGGCCCACCCCTCACACTCTGTCCTGCACCTCCCACAGAGCATGGCCTGGAAGGATTCCTGAGCCTCTCTCTGGTCCTCAGTCTCTGGTTTGAGTTTACCCAGCAGAAGACATGAGAAGCCAACTAAAAAGCAGAATAAGGAAAGAGCATCGGCCCTCCAGCTCCCTCCCTGAAGGGCACTGTAAGCCGTATGTCACACCCTCAGTTAAGGCCACAGCTCCTGGGGGTGGCCTCTTCACACAGGATCCCCCTTCCACCACCCACCCCCCAGCTGCTCCTGGCTCCTGCTTTATACAACTTTCCTTAGTTGCCTGGTTCTCAGGTGTCATGTGGCTCCTGCTGAGACCGTGATGGACACAAACACCAAACAGAAAGCAGGGGCACTCAGTATGCTGGAGGACAGGAAGGCCAAATGAATGAAGGCCATCTGCTCATCTCCTCGTGCTCTTTTCTCCATAAAGATTATTTGTAAGCTGCTCTCATTTAACAGTGACTCGATGGCTGTGAATTGTGGTACTGGAGAAGAGTGGTGACTATCCCCTGGACTGCCAAGGAATAAACAAATCTGTTCTGGAGGAGAAGCCACCAGGGTGCTCTTTACGGACAAGGACAGTGAACATCCAGCTCACATACTGTGCGCACGCTGTCAGGAGGGGTCAGAAAACGAGAAGACCCTCAACAAGATGGACTGAAACAGTGACTGTGGCAATGAGCTTGAGTATGGGGGTGGTTTGTGAGGCTGGCGCAAGGCAGGGGAAGATGCTGATCTGTTCACTAAGTAACCAGGAGCTGTCGACTTGACGATACCTACCAACTGTATTTTATACTTTTTTTTTTCCTATTTAGTAATTCATGCTTATGGCAATCTTTTGGGAAGAAATCTTTATTTTTAAAAACCAAAACAAACACACACATCATACAGATAAGAAATGACAGAGCTGGAAACAGACCTCAGGTTTCCTGATTAAGTCAAAGGCAGAGAAATACTGTATTTTCCCCATACATGGCACATATGCACGTGTGTGTATATACATTCATACATACATACACACACACTCACCTCCTAAATACTCCTCTCTTATAAAGAAAGAAGGAGGACATTTGCATTCAATCGTTTATGCTTTGCATAGTTTGGAGTACACTAACATGGTATCATCCCAAAAAATCTGTGAGGTGGACTTCTTTTCCTCACATCACAGGAAAGGGAAAAGCAGCAGAGAGGAGGGAAAGGCAGCTTGCCTAACACATATGGCTGGGAGGAGGAAGAGGAGGAAAGGAAGGGCAGCACTTCTAACACCTGTGGCTGAGAGGAAGGGAAGGGTAGCAAGTCTAACACCTGTGGCTGAGAGGAGGAGAAGGGCAGCACTTCTAACACCTGTGGCTGAGAGGAGGGGAAGGGCATCACGTCTAACACCTGTGGCTGAGAGGAGG